TGGTAGAGAAAACAGTGCAACAATGAATGAATGAAAACCCAAAATCTCTGTAAATGTTCATTAAAACTAATAAAATTTAATAATAATTAAAAAAAAAGCTTTACACAATCTTCACATTAAGTTTCTGTTCAATAATTTTTTTTTTAGTTGTTGTTGTTGTTAGGTGCCATGAAGTCGTAGACGACTCAGTGACCCTATGAACGAAAGGCGTGAGCACTGTAAGAGTTTCTGGAGACAAGCCATTTCAGAAGTGGATGCCACTCCCACTTCCAGGCTTGTTTTAATCATGAAGCTCCAGCAAACACTGTCCACCATGGGTAACCATTATCACATTTAGCACATCAGTGTCACAGTATTCAGCATCACAGCAACCACGAGTTACCTCTTGTACAGCAATACACAGACCAGTGCTATACCAACTAGAAGAATGTTTGACAGAAAACCAATTTGAACCCGGCCTGAGGGCCGCAAATTAAAATCACCCACTTTGGGCCTGGTAGCATAACTTTCTGTCCACTAGTCCAATGTAGCTCTCTCTCTATGTTGTTGTTGCTATTACTGTTAGTAGTAGGAAAAAAACCAAACACGCAAATCAGCTGCTGCTGACTCTAATATTAGATGTTCTCCTATGTGTAAAAGTAGCACTGTGCTCTATAAACTCATCAATGTTTATTTCTCAGCAGTGGATTGCTAAGTCTTCCTTCTGAGGTACCTTCGGGTGAACATGAACTGCCAATCTTTCAGCTAGTAGTCAAGTGTGTTAACAGTCTGAAGCATCCAGAGACTCTTCGTATATAAATAGGTGATAAAAAAATGGGTGGAATACATCAGTTTTTCTCCTAATACATAAAACTCAAACCCAAACTCATTGCCTTTGAATCAGAGCTTCCTCTTAACTGAGCCAATGCTCCTTAATACATAAAAGGAAACATATACTTTCTGCCCCTCAATTTTGTCTGAAAGAAAAATTTAAAGTCAACATAAATTATATTTTTGTATTTCTCAAATAGCCCTGCTTGAATAAAAACCTCAATCTTTCCAATGCAACCACCCATCAAACCTACTCCTTGCTAATCTTTGTTTCAGCAATATATTTTCTTGAAGCCTCTTACGTATTAAGGAGCACTCGTGACAACAGTGTGTAGGGAGTTGTGCCATCCTCAAGTTGGATTGTTTAAATCCACCAGTAGCTCTGTGGTAGAAGGATGATTTACAGCTTCCGAAAACAAGAGTCTGAATGGTACAACTGGCTATGGTGCTCTACTGTAAATAGAAAGGTGGGGGGGAGGTTTGAATCCACCCACAGACGCCTGAGTTGCCAGGTGATCTACTTCTGAAAAATCAGATGATGAAAATGTTATGGAGCACAGTTCTATTCTGGTCATAAGTGAGGGTGCCATGAGTTAAGAGTTGAATGGCAACCAGTTTAGCTGTTAAGAAATTTTCCTAACAAGTTGTTCCTGTAGCTTTTCTAGTTATTCAGGCCAGTCATTCAATGACATTCTTTGTAGATGTCTTTTATTTATAAAAATTTATTATTTCTTCTCTTCAGTAAATTTCATAGCTTTGTGCACTGTTTATATTCTAGCTGAAGGCAATACTACTCTTTTAAACTATCTGATAAGTACGTATAGTAGTATTGGCAAATCTACATAATCTATGTAAGTAAAAAGATTTCTTTTCCCCAAAAGAACAAGTATGTCAACTACATTGGCAGCCCCTAAAATAATTTGTAATCATCCCTAAAACAAAGCAGCTGGATTCATTTCCATGGTTAGCACTCATTGCTGTTACTACAGTAGAAAATGCAGGGCAGGTTATGACCAAGGATGACAGAAGAATAATTGATGCCTTTGAGTTGTGCTGTGAAAGAGTACTGACCACCATGGACTGCCAAGAAAACAAACAGGTCTGTCTAGGAGAGGGTGAAACCAAGTTGCTCCTTGGAGACAGAGATTTTGAAGCTCTGTCTCACATGCTTTGGCATGCAGCCAGGAGGAACAAGAGCTTGGAGAAGGACATCATGCTTGGAAGGTTAGAGGGTTAGCCAAGGAGAAGATGACCCCAGATGAGATGGAATGACACAGAAACTGGGGTTATAATGGGCAGGGGTGTGCTGGAGACCGTGCGACTGGCTCAGAATAAGGTGGGTTCAAGCTACCATACATTACAGGTGACTTGATGGCACATAACAACAACACAGATCCAAAGGGAAAAGAATTCAGCAAGGAAGAGATAAGTTTGGCTTCCTAGTCCCATGGACTGCCAAAAGAACAAACAGATATGTCTTAGAGAAAGTGCAGCCAGAGGTGCACTTTGCCTTGGAGGCAAAGATCATGATGAAGCTTCATCTCACATACTTTGGGCATATTGCTAGGAGAAGTTATTCCTTGGAGAAGGACATGATGCTTGGAAAGGTGGAGGGACAGCAAAGGAGAGAAGACAACCAGATGGAGTGACAGTGCGATAGCAAAGGGTCTGTGACTGTGTCAGAGATTGTAAGGATGGCACAGGACAGGACAGGGTTTAGATCTGTTGTTCACAAGGGTCACTATGAGTCGTACTCAGCTTGAAGGTACCGAACAACAATCAATCTACAAGGATAGTGGGAACCTTTCATGCCATTATAATTTTTTCATTTTCACTTTATACTGATTTGCTTACAAGGTTTGTATACACTGTATTTCACACTATCCTTCATTCACACTGTATTTCATATAATCATTCCTATTCATAACACTTCATAAAATTAACCAACCCTAAACTATGCTCAACATTACCATGTTTTTTCCATTATAATTTTAATTCAGCAAAAATGAACAAGGTTTACTGAATCATGTCCTACTTTAGATATTTCTAAAAATGGAAATTTTCTAAATGGACTCAAAATTAACTTCTTTAACACCACATATTTTTGTAACTAAATGGTAAGCTGCATAATTCTTAGGGAATCAAATCTACCACCATTTCCTTTATCCTCACAAGTGGAATTAATTGACATTGTTTAATAATTGTTATTGTTGTTGATTGCTGTCGAGTCAAGTATGACTCATAGTAGCCCTATAAACAAAAGACCTGAAGACTTTCTATAACTATCATCATTTCTCCAGGTTCATAGAGTTTCCAGAAGCATATGGTTTAGGAAGTAGATGCCACTCCTGTTTCCAAACCTGTATTGAACTGGGAGCTCCACCAAACACTGTCCACCATGGGCAGCTATTATGGCCTTTGTCTCCCCCCAATGGCACAAGGTTCAGCTTCACAGCAAACCCAGATTAATTCAGTAGCAAATTGACAGAAGAGCGCTGTACAACTTAGAAGAATGTTCCTCCAAAATGAAGTAACATGAGGCTCTCGGGCCCAAATGACTTTTAAATACAAGGAAACTCACTCTACACACCCACACACACACACACAAACACACACACACACACACACACACACTTGATTTAAACAGAAACAGAAGAATAACTTGCCCATTCACTAGAAACAATATATCCTCCATAATGATATCAGACTTAAGTGAAGAACAATCCATCAAAGAAAATTATCATTTAGAACTGCTGACACCAGAGCCATTACTTTTAAATAAGATTTCATCTCAGTATCTTGAGCGAGATATTAGGATAGCAGAACAAGTGCCTAAAATTATCAAACAGTTTATGTTTAATTAGGCTAAAAAATATTTCCACACTCTACATGTGTACTACTGATTTCCATCAGACATATACAAACAATAGTTCCAATTTTTTACTATAACTACTTTCATGTATCCATTAAATAAATATGCAAGAAAAAAAACAACTTACTGTCTCGAAGTGTCTCCCAAGCCCACTGATCATTTTTGAAGAAGAGATGTCGTTTGATTTCATCTACGCCATTTCGCCCTAATCTCACTTCTCTGAGGGAAGGAGAACAATAATTACTTAAGATCTCAGTATAAATTATCTAAGAATGTGAAATTCAGTATCAGGAAGCATGTGAAATCTGTGCCTAATGCATAGTTTTTATGGACCTTGAAATTATACTGTTGTCAGCATACTTTTCAGCCTACAAAGGACGATTGAAGACTGAGACTATGAAAGAATTTCTGAAAAGAAAAAAGACTCAATTAAAAAGTAAAATTAAGGGAGCTCTGGTGGCCTAGTGGCAAGACGCTGCACTGCAATCCCAGAGGTATGCGGTTCAAATCCACCAGATGCTCTGCTGGAGAAGGAGGGGGCAATCTCCTGTACCAGTCAGATCTGATTTGACGGTACACGTAAAAATAATACAATAAAAAATAAAAAAAATTTAAAAAAAGTAAAATTAAAAATTACTGAAGAAAAAACATACAAAACTGGACTTGGTCATACTCCCAAGAGTTTACTAGTGTCAATAAAATTTCAGATGAATCTGTCACCTTGCTTCATCAACATGATGAAGTAAAAATATATTTTGACTTTAAAAAAAGCCAGTATATAAGTTATGTACATTTTTGGAAACTAACAACAAATTTTATAATAAAATTTTAATTACACAATCTATTAAATATTTCTGATTACTTATATAGAAATAGCAATTGATTCTTGACATTGCTATAAAACTTAGTTCAACAAATGACTGACACATTTTTCGCCTCTTTTTTATAAATATGGATATAAATGTCTTTTTGAAAAATGTGCTTTTATTGGAATGAAGAACTCAGTACCTTTTGTTCTCTGGCACAATGCTTACAAAAGTGAAAATATATTGAATTCCAATTTTTCCCCATGAGTAAAAGTTAGATAGCTTTGATATAATGTGCCGATTAAATTTAGTTAACTTTCCATGTTCGCTGACACTAGCACTTAACTTACACTACTTATTTTCTCTCTATATTATATTTATGAATCATTTGTTTATCTATTCTCCATCTCAAAGAATCATGAGGCATTTGAGGTATCATGTCTCTTTGTTCACTTCTGTATCTCTGGTACCTAGCAAACAGCAAAAAAAGTATAGTTCTTTATATTTAATATATTTAATGTTAAAATGTAAAAATTTTAAGCACTGTTATCTTTCCAGCTATAAAGGACATATTAAAGAAACGTAAGTTAATCTTAATTAAAGAAAATTTCACATTGATCCATGTTTTAATAATATTGGCAATATCTACTGTTTATAAAGTTACCTGTTTAACTTTTAAATTTAAAAAGTAAACCACAAGAGTATACCTAATATCAGGCTACCTTTTTTGTTTTTTAAAATATATACATTTATAAAAATGTCAATTAAATATGGAAGATATGATCTAAATGACTATATCTAAAAGGAGAGAGGCAGAAAAATACTTTTAAAAAAGAACTTGAACTGTTATGTCAACAAACATATACCATCAAGTATCAAGTGTTATCAACTGGAAGACACCTCTAATTAAATAAATATGTATTTTTGGAACATCCACTTAAGATTTCAGAGATATTAATATATAAAAGAAAACCTTAAACTCAGTAAAATTTACTCATTTTCATAAACAAGCTAAAAAAATCATCTGGTATAGTCATCAGTTAAGAATATGTTAACTATCCCAAACCCTCAAGTAAGGCAAGTTAGTGGAAATTCAGAAAAGCCACCTACAAAGTCACAAAATCTTACTAAATTCTGTCATTAGGAATGAATCTGGGAATGGTTATAATTTAACAGTTCAGAGTAGGAATTCAGATTTAGATTTTAAAACCTGAGTAGGAAAATAATAATTTCCTCAGAATAAGAAATTAGTTCAATGTTAAGATTATTTACCTGTCAGTAAGGAAGGCACAAATAAGATTTTTTGCTTCTTTTGAAATGTCATTATCATCAGGGAAAGTAAGTGAATTTTTATGATTCATAATCTTACTGTAAGTCCCAACTAGGGAATCTGCATAAAAAGGTGTATCACCTAAAAAGTGATAGAAAAACAAAAAATTTAAGTATTTTTCTATACTTTAAACAACTTTCCAATGTAAACAGTCACTTAAAAAATAGATATTAAAAATGTGTTGAGTTAAAAAACATAGGAAAGAGTGTGTTTGCCTATTTAGTTTGCCCACAAGGAGGTCTACATTATATCTGTTCTCTACAAAAAAGATCAATATAACACAATAAACACCTTAAGAAGTGTTGAGGTTGGGGAAGAACAACTTATATTAGAAATATGTAAAATTTTCCTTTTCTTACCTACAAGCATTTCATACAAAAACACCCCAACTGACCACCAGTCACATTCTCGTCCATAATAACCATCACCACCTTGGGATTTCAATACTTCAGGGGAAATATAATCCGGTGTTCCAACTGCTGTATCACATCGTACCATACCTTCCTAAAAAGAGTGACAAGTATTTATGAAATAGCACTTTGATTGAAACCATGCAAGATACTGCAAAAAAGAATGTATGAGAAATGGCTTCTCAAAAGTAAATGGAACCTACATCCAGGAGAGAATAAAGTAGATGAATTAGACTTCCTAACAATCAAATCTCTATGCACATCAAAAAACTGCTCCAACAGGGCAAAAAGGCAACCCAGACTGGGGAAAAAAATATTTGAGAAAAATATTCCAGCACCTCAACAAGAAAAAGGTAAACAACCCAACAGCAAAAGGGGTACTGGATCTGAAGCAGACACTTCACCAAAGAAGACATTCATATGGCAAACAAACACATGAAGAAATTTTCAAAGTCCCTAGCTCTCAGAGAAATGCAAATAAAAACAGGTATGAAATATCATCTCATCCCAGTTAACAGCAAAGTTCAACAAAGCTAGAAACAACAAATGCTGGTGAGGTTACAGAGAGATTTTAATACTCATTGCTGGTGGGGAAAATGGTGCAACCACTATGGAAGGCGGTATGGCACTTTCTCAGAAAGCTGGAAATAGAAGTACCATTTGACCCAGCAATTTTACTACTAGTAACAGACTCTAAAGAAACCAGAGCTACCACAGAAACAGATATATGCATTCCCATGTTTACAGCTGCATTATTCACACTAGCAAAGAGGTGGAAGCAACCCGAGTGCCCACCAAGAAATGAATGGACAGAAAACTATGGCATCATTTGCAATGTGTCAGAGAGCTGGACAATGACTAGAGGGGATAGAAGGAGAATTGAGGCCTTTGAGCTGTGGTGTTGGAGAAAAGTACTGAATATACCATGGACTGCTAAGAAAATGAAAAGGTTCATCCTAGAAAGGGTTAAACCAGGCTGCTCCTCGGAGGCAAGGATTCTGAAGCTTCGTCTGACATACTTTGGACATGCTGCAAGGAGAGACCAGTCCTTGGAGAAGGACACTATGCCGGAGGATAGAGGGACAGCGCAGGAGAGAAAGACCCTCTATGAGGTGGACTGATTCAGTGACTTGGGTAATGGGGGTAGGTGTGCTGGAGACAGTGAGATTGGCAGAAGATAGAGCAGGGTTTAGGGCTGTTGTACATAAGGTCACTATGAGTCACAGGTGACTTGATGGCACACAATAACAACAACTACAACATATTCACACACTAGAGTACTATATAGCACTGAAAAACAAGGAACTCATAAAAAATTACACAATGTGGGTGATCCTGGAGGATATTGTGCTGCGTGAAATCTATCTCAGTCACAAAGGGAAAAATACTGCAGAACACCATTATTATAAAAAAGGACTGATATGAAGGTGGAAGGGAACTAAGAAACAGGGATAAATGATGAACACTGCATTGGAATAGATGAAGGAAAGAACTGTTAAAAAAAAAATATATGATTAAGCATTATTTTCATGACATAATCCAGAACAAGAGGTGTACAGTAAAGCAGATTTGGGGGGTAGGGAGAATTATGCAACAATGAATGAATATACGTTTTTTTTTAAAAAGTGAACTGAGGGGGTAGGGAGGAAAATGAGCAACAATAAATGGATGAAAATCAACTTTTCTGTAAACTTTTTATAAAATCACAATTAAAAATGTAGGAACGGGATATTACAGTATTAATATGAGTATCAATATTCTTATTATCTGTTTTAGCATTAAAAGTTCCTGTGTGTTTTTCCTTTCTAACTAATAAATTTATTTTAAAGTAACAACTTTCTGTATTTATTATTGCTGTCCTCTGTTATATTTCAAAGACTATTAATGCTTTCAAGTAAAAATGAGCTGTCATCTTTGCATCTTCTGATTTGTCTTATATTTTAATGTACTGAAAGGGGATATGAATTCTGGTGTTGTAGTCTGTAGAGAGTTATGCTGCTAACCCAAAGGCTTTGTCTTTCTAGCAGTTCAAATACTTCACAGGAGAAAGCTCTTCCTGTATGATTTATGGGCTTAGAAACCAGCTGGAAGGTGAGCAGAGGGCAACTCGACAGCAATGAGAGTGAGAAAAGTGGAGATGTCTATCTTTGAAGACTGACTCCTAAAGCAGGAAGTAAAATCTTCTAAAATTTTATAGAAAGACTATGTTTACAAATCTTTGTTGTAAAGCATTAGAAAATATACTCATTACTGAATTCTATTTTTACAAACATTGACTTTTAAGATCACAGCAAGCATTCAATGACAGGAAAGCTAACTTTAGTTCTTGCAGAATTGTTAGGAAGGAATTAGTATGGCTGGCAATCCACACTGATCCTAAATAGAGAGGAAAAAAGAAATCACTGACAAGTTATACACTGAAACCATGGCATCTATAGTTGAATAAATAAGATAGCTCACATAATCTGGTACAAGTGCAGATATGGTTAAGTAAATTCTTATGGCATTTTCTAAAGAAGGATGTATCTTGAATTAGCAAAAATTAAGATTAAAATTTAATTCATTAACCTTATTCATCTTCATACAAGTACCAAAATCTGCTAACTTCAAATGTCCAGATTTATCCAGCAGCATGTTATCAGGCTTCACATCTCTGAGGAGGAAAAAAATCACAAAAGAACAATTCTGTATTTCAAAAACTGATTAGATACTAATAAAATATATATGAGGCAGCTAGTGTATGTTAAGTGATCTCACTCAGTCTACATCTGAGCTGTACATATTCTCTACAAATTAAATTTCATCAGTAACTCCTTTATATACTAATGCCTAGAAAGGAAAAAAGTTAAAAATCCTCTCTGTTTTTAAAGAGAGTTTGATTATGCCAGGGGAAAATTAAATCAAATGAGAGAGATTAACCACAGAAAATTGTAATACGAAGGCATAAAAAAATATTGGAAACATATAAAACAATTAGTACACAAATAACCCCAGGGTATGGTCTAAGTCATTTTCATTTTTGTAACCTTAACAATTACACAGAGTTGAGATTTAAGTGGTGTTTGAAAAGCAAATGAAATTATTCTTATTGATAAATATGATTTATTCAATAACCAAAAGCCAATGAATTTGCATGTAAAGTTAAACACTAAATAACATTAAGGAAGGTATATATTTACTGTACATTCAACAGACATGCTAAAACAATGAATTTCAAAGTTTCAGGTCTTAATGTTACTCGTGTGATATGGGAGGATGAGTGGATTTAAAATTGAGAAATGCTAACCAAATAAGGTATATATACTTCTCCATTTTTCCCTTTAACAAATAAGTAGACAAAAACATTTCTGTCTTTACCTATGAATAAAACCCATAGAATGGATTGCATCCAATGCAAGAACTACTTCTGCAGTATAAAACCGGGCCCATTTTTCAGGCACGTCATAGTTGCTCATCAGATTGACAAGATCTCCACCAGGCATGTACTCCATCACCATGTAGAGATAGCGATCATCTTGGAATGCATAGAAAAGCTATATAAATGCAGAAATAAAAAACAAAATAAATTATCAGGAATTAGCTAACAGTTTCATTTTCAAAACCAACAAAAATATTAATGCAAGATTTAAATTAAATAATCAAGACATAAAACAGTAGTTCTAACTACTGCTTCAAGAAAGAAAACACAGATACCACAAAGATCTTTGCATACAGAGAGGTATAATAAACAGTAATTATTGCTGAGGAAACAGCTGAAGGTACCTTTTAAGAAAATTAGCTTTCTATATTATTTAATATTCTAAGTCTCAATACAGAATACACAAACCCTCTAATAAGCAAAGAAATACACTGTTCTAATTCAATTTATGCATTAGTATGCTTCTTTTATACTGCACAAAACACGTATTATAAACTAAGACACAGTCTAAACTAGAAGTCTGTAGTGTTTTCTTTCTTTTGTAAAACCTAAAGATGTTGCATAAAGGAAGCAGTATATAAAACAGATAAATTATGGAGATGCTTTAATTGAAGCAGAGGTAGAAGATCCAGAATTATAAGCTAGTTTTTCCATGCCCTCATGACGACTGGAGTAGTACCACCACAGTAAAAATAAACAATCTAAGCCAATTTTCACATTTATGAGCAAGGAAAACTAAGGCCTAGAGATTGGTCACAGCTTCATATTAGGCCTGTGGCAATCAAGACTAGAACTTACGACACTTCACTTGCTGCATTTTTTCCCCTCTAAAAAAACTTAAAAGCCAGAGGCCAAGTCTAATTTAGCCTTTCCTGTTCTCCCTTCAATCTCTCCATTACACAAAATAAAGAGACAAACAGAGGAACAGAGAAAGAAATAAGATGATCAAGTTTAAAAAAAATATATAGAAGTTAAAATTCATTATTAAATAAACTATTAAAATGTAGGTCTAAAATATATAACTGCCTACCAAATCAAAGAGTGTTTCAATTTCCTGTACTTAAATTCTCTAAGAAGTGTTTATTTTATTTTGGCCTTACTTTTTACTTAGTGGTGATTTGGTAAACTTAAATTTTATCATTTTAAAAATAATGCTAGATAACTTCGAAGTTGCCAATAAATCTCTCATACTCTTATAAAAAGATAAAGCTTCTCAAATGTTTTCTTACAAACTTGCAAAGCAATAATGACAGAGTAGCAGAATCATACCTGAACGACCCAAGGGCTGTTGGCAAAGGCCATAATATCTCTTTCTTCCCAGAAAAAGGCAGAATCCGATCTCTTGATCATCTCAAATTTGCTGAGTAGTTTCATGGCATATACTTTCCTGGTAGATTTATGCCTTACCTTTAAAATGAAAATAATGCACCTTGTAACAACATTTGAAGCTCAGCATTCCACAGAACAATTGACTAAATAATTTTAACTCCTTGTTAAATACTTTAACATTACTGTTTAATTTTTCTCTTCCACTGAATTATTCTAATGAAACAATGTGACTGTATTAATTACTAGAAATGAATGTTAGAGAAAAAAAAAAAAGAACCCCAAACCCTTTATAGTCTTTATAATCCTTGATATGTATGCTACTTATTCTTGGTAAGTCTTAGTTATCTACATTATGTTAATTCAAAAACTAAAACTCAATGCTTCAATTTGACTCATAATTGACCCTCTAAAGGGTTTTCTGAGGCTGTAAATGGCACAGAAGGAGACTGCTCATTGTTCTCCTATAGAGCCACTGATGGATTTCAATCACCACAGAATCACTGTCTTTGAATTAGAGCAAATTTCTATGGACTCTGCCACCAGAGCTCCCCATACCATGTTAGACAGTCTCCTATATTAGGATTGAAGATTTCCCTTCTGGTGCTTCTGAAGAATTCTTCAATCCCCCCATCAATGCTTCACACTAATTGACTCTAGGCTTGACTACTGGTAAGCAAGAATATTCCGTATTTCCTAAAAGCAATACTTTCCTAAATAAGAAATGTTAAATGCACAACTGAAATTAAAAAAAAAATTATGTTATTGCTTTTAAATCTCATTAAGATAACCTACCAGCTGAACTTCTCCAAATGCACCTCTACCAATCACCTTCACTACTTCATAGTCTTCAGCTTTCATGCGTAAATCTCTGATTTTATTTATTGTATCTTTATCTGAAGAAAAGAAAAGGTAACAATTTATAATCACAAAAACATCATCTAACAATACTATTTCATATCCAGCTTCTTGAGAAACACAATGGGAAAAAATAATCTTAAGAATTAGTATGATATGTAGCACATTTCAAAGTTCAAAAACATATTTTCAAACTACGCTAAATCTTAAAAGAATACATTCTGAAACTATTTGATTGTAGTAAAAGTTTTTATTATAGTCTGATTTTATAGATGATTTAAGAACAAATATTATACTACAAACAAAAACTAAAGAAAACTACTTCCTGTTTAATTATACATCAAATATGAATTGAGGAAACATGCTTAGATGTTTTAGATTAACACAATAAAATTTACTATCAAGTTAGTTTTCATGAGCCTTTATAAAATACATAAATAATTGAGACAGCATATACAAACATAAAAAGCTCAAGAATCACAATAAATTTTCTAATTGGCAATCTTTAGTACTCATATCACTCTGATTCTCTAGTTGAACCTAGACTTTAACTTAAAACAAGCAGTGGGAATTATTTATATAAACCTGTCATGCTACAAACTACAATAATTTACAAATCCCCACTGGATGAATACTCTAATTCCTAATTTGGTCAAAGATTAAAATAGGGCTATTTTAATCCACATGGGTCAACACTGGCATGAGATTACATGGAAAAGCTTCACATTTCAGAGTTGTACAAAATACAAGAACAGTTATTAAACTTAAGTTCTAACTCTAATAAAAGCTGTGTATAATATTCTTGACCTTTTCTTTAAACACACATTTAACTTCAAGTATTTATGCACATTGTTGCTGCTGTGTACCATCAAGTCCATTCTAAAGAACTGTGCCCCTAAATGACAGAACAGAACTACCCAAAGTATTTCTTAAACTGTAATCTTACAGATGAAGATCATCAGGTCTTTTTTGCTATGTTACTGGTGGGCTGGAGCCTCCAGCGTTTTGGTTGAGAGATCAGCACTCATGCCCAAAAAATGTGTCCATTGGACAGCAAATTTCCACACAGACCAACCTAAGAACATTTCATTTTAGGTTACACAACCATTGCAAGATGCACCAGAAAGAGAGAAAAATAAATTAATTCATTGTACAAATATCTGTACATGTGTCAGGCCCTACAGTCTCACTGGAGATATGTAAAGATAACTTTAAAACAAAGATCCTGCTCTCAAGGGGCCCAAACTCAAAAAAATAGAATAGAAACAAATAATGGGAAAATAATACCAAAAATGCAATGAGAGAGATAGGCAGTTTGTGGGGAACAACATAGTGACCACTAGGAGTAGAAGCACAGTAGAGATTGTGAGTATGACACAGGATCTGGCCGAGTTTTGTTCTGTTTTCTGTGAGGTTGCTACGAGTTGAAGCTGACACAATGGCACCTAACAACAACAATAAGAATAATACACTCAACAACAACAACAACAAGAAGAATAATACATAGCCAAGTTGGTCTGGAAGGCAGCAATCAGATTGTGCTTTCTGGAAATAAGTGTAAGAAAGCATCAGTCAGCTAAATGAGGAAGAAGGAAAGGTACCACATTTAAGGCAGATGGCCATGATACAAAGGCATAAAAGCACTTGTGTTCCTAAAGTATCAAGTCTAGTAATGACATGCAGAATAGGAAACTGCAGAATGCCCAAAGCTTAAGGAGCTTGATGTTTACCTGTAGGCCAGTAGTTATAATCATCAAAGTAGTTTTTACATGTAATTCTAAAGCAAATCAGTATGTAACATAGATAATAAAACAACCACACTGCATAAAAAATATGCGGGGAAATTGTATGATCAACTGGAACTTCATCTACTGAGAACTTTTACTGAAGAGTCCTACAGATTCTGTTGGGAACAAAGCACTTAATGAATGGACTGACAAAAGAACAATTTTTGTTGTTGTTATTAGTATGTAATATCAAGTCACCAGCTCCCCAGGTATCCTCAACTGAATTAAAAAGGGGAAACTGACCAGTTGGGGAAAGGCCATGCCTCATTCAAAAACTGGTCCTGTACATTACGTTAAGATTACAGCTCCGCAGGTCTTCTATTCTCCATTCACAGGGTTTCAAAGGAGGCTTGCACATGTTTTAAGAACAGGAAATAAATTAAGCTCACACTTCAACCTTCGTCACATTTACTGTTACTGATCAAGAGGAACCTCCAGATGATCTATGTCTCCCCATCCCAAAGCTTTATAGCTTTAAATAAAACATACGTAAGAAGAATAGAAGATCCCAGGGACTACCAAGAGAACACGTATGTTTGAACAGGGTGCAGCCAGAGTGCTTTTCGGAGACAAAGAGGATGAAGCTTTGTCTCACATGTTTTTGGCTGTGCTGCTAGGAGAGATTATTCCTTGAGAGGGGGATCATGCTTGGAAAGGTGAAGGGATGGTGAAGGAGAGAGAAAGACCTTCCATCAGGTAGATTCACACAATGACTGTGCTCAAGTGTGTCAGAGTCCATGAGGAAGACATAGAATAGGACAGGGTTTTTTGTTTGGTTTTTTTAATTGAAATTTTAATTAAAGTTTATAAAGAACCTGGATTTGCATTAATTCATTGTTGCACATTTTCTTCCCTGCCCCCCTTCCCATCTAGTTAGCTTTTTTCTTTGGGGAAAAAAGTGATTTCATTGTTACACAGCACCCCCCTCCCCACCGCAGATCACTTTACTATGCAGCTCTTATTCAGGACTCTTGTCATGTCAATAATATCTAATCATATGTTCCTTTATACAGTTCTCTCTCTCGTCTATTTCAATGTCATGTACATTATTTATCCTCTCTTTTCCTAGTTCCCCAACTGCCAAATCAGTCCTGTTCTATAATGGTGGCATTATGCAGTATTTGTCTTTTGATCCGCTATTCACAGGGATGCTATAAATTGTACCTGACTCAATAGCACCTATCAACAATAAGACAGAGAATCTCATCATGTCTTTTAATCTTCTTCTCAAGTACTAAATAATCCTTTCTTTCTGGCACCCAAAAGCCCTGATGGTGCAATGGCTAAATTCTCAGCTGCTAAATCAAAGGTCAAACGCTAACAGGAACTCCAAGACAAAAGTAAAAAACACAACCTAACCTGGCTATTTGCTCCTAAAAGGACAGATTATAGAGTATGCAAGATCATCCAGGGCAGTCCTACTCTGCTGACAGGGTCACTAAGAGTTGGCATCAGTCTGATGGCACAGATCAGTTTCCATAAGGGATAGTCCAATGGTGCATGCTGAACTAGCTCTGCTGATAGGTGGTAGTCGGAACCAGGCAGCTATTCTACAAGAGGGAAGAGCTGGCAATCTGCTCTCAATACATATCACACACTAGAAACTCCAAGGGGCCATTCTAACCAATCACAGAAATTATCTCCTGTAATTCTGGATCCTAAAATAATCTCTCTTAAAATTAAGTCAGAGGTTTTTTTATGTACATTAAAGAAGTTAGTACTACTACACTGATAAAAACATTCCACAACATCAGAAATTCTACTGTGTCCTTTAAAACTGGCATCCTATCACGGATAACCTAAATAAGTTTCTCTTGCTCGAATGCAAATATCTACCACTGTTAAGTTATGCTCAATATTTAGAAGAATGGAAATTCCAAAATGCTTAATTGTCCTCAAGTGAATTTTATACAGATATCAAGAAGCATATGTCCAAACAGAAGAAAGGGTTATTATATGGTTTAAAATTAAGGAAAAGTGTTCATCAGGGTTGTATTCTTTCATCAAATCTATTCAATCTTTAAGCAAATAATTCAAGAAGCTGGATTATATCAAGAAGAATATGGCATCAGAATTGAAGGAAGTCTCATTAATATAATTCAGATTATACAACCTTGCTATCAGAAAGTTAAAAAAAAAAAACTTGAAGCACTTACTGAAAGAGATCAAAGACTGCAGCCTTCAAAATAGATTATAACTCAATAAAGAAAACAAAAATTCTCACAACTGGACCAATAGCTGACATCATAAAAGACAGAGAAAAGGTTTAATCTGGACTGATGACAGCCTTCACCAGCCAATGGTCTACTTTCTGGCCATGTATCAGGGACTGACGCAAGCCTCTCCACTGCTACCATCCATCCCCAAAAGTTTGGGCATTTTCTGGTTTAGCCTTCAGGAACTGTGCTTTGGGTGTTGTGTTGCACAAGTCTTTTTGATCCACTTTTTCACAGTTATGGAGAGCACTGTACTTCTTGCCATGGGTTTTGATCGCTATGTGGCTATTTGCAACCCTCTTAGGTATACTATGATCCTCATCAACAGAACTGTCGCTGTGATTGGTGTGGTTGTAATCCTACGAAGCTTATGTACGATTGTTCCCATTATTTTTCTCCTCCTGAGACTACCTTATTGTAGACAAAGAATCATCCCTCACACTTACTGTGTGCAGATGGGAGTGGCTCACCTGGCTTGTGCCAGCATCAGTATCAATGTCTTGGGAATATTTCTATTTTGTTTATGGATATACTACTTATTATTATCTCCTATGCTAGGATATTATACACTGTCTTCCACCTTCCTTCCTAAGATGTCTGCCTGAAGGCTTTCAATATTTGTAGCTCTCATATCTGTGTCATTATAGCTTTCTTTGGGCCAGCTCTGTTCTCCTTTCTCACTCATCGCTTTGGCTATGGTATTCCCCAGTATATTCATATCCTCCTAGCTAATCTCTATGTAGTTTTTCCCCCTGCCCTCAACCCAGTCATATATGAGATTAGGACTAAGTGGATCCAAGAGAGGGCAAAAAATCTATCTGTTAAAAGACTGGAAAAAAAAAAAAAGACTGAATGATCCTGGTGGCCTAGTGGCAAGGAGCTGCAACTACAATCCCAGAGGCGCACAGTTCGAATCCACCAGATGCTCTGTCGGGGAAGGAGGGACAATCTCCTCCTGTACCAGTCAGATCTGATTTGATGGTACACGCACACAAAAATAATAAAAAATTTTTTAAAAAAAAAGACTGAATGAGA